ATGAATCAGTTGCCAAGGGTCTGAATTTTGATCATGCGTTCATGGGCATGCTGCAACAGTCGTTAAGTGTGAAAAATGATCATAAGTCACTTTTTTTCAGCGCCACTGGAACTTCGAATGATCACTAAATGAATTGCTGGATAGGCAAGGATTTGCTGTAAAGGACCGGCCACATTCTTATTTGTTTGTCCTTTATTATATATATATATATTTATATCTTCTTTTGTTCCATGTCTATGGCCACTTCATCTTAGGTCAGGGGTGTCCAACCTTGGCAACTTTAAGACTTGTGGACTTCAACTCCCAGAATTCCTCAGCCAGCTTTGGGAGTTGAAGTCCACAAGTCTTAAAGTTGCCAAGGTTGGACACCCCTGTCTTAGACAATGACTCTGGGCAGGCAGCGTACAGTTCAGAAAACACATTGCAATTTTTTAAAAAAATGTTTGAAATGTTTTGAAAACAATCCAGACAGTAAAACCTAGAATCAAACCAAAACTGAAGGGTATCGAAAGAAAAGGCCTTGCAGAAAAGGAAACACTTCATGTCGATCCCTTCTATGGGGAAATATGTGCTCCAGTTGCTGATATTCACATCGGTGAAATGACTTGGCCGGATGAGTTGTGTTCTTGAAGGTCTGGCAACCTATCGGAGAAGAAACTAAAACAACGCTTCCAATTTCCTTGTCCAAGAGGCTCTTTGGGAGAACAGAGCTTCGGTTTATCCCTTCGGCTGCTCTTGTTTTCCAGAGAAGTGGAAAGAAACCCAAATTAATCTAATTTTCCTTTAGAGGCTACTATACAATCCGTGCTTGTACAAACAGAGATATAGAATCAAGATCAGCGAAGTGCAAGTGCCACTTTATAAAGGCCACGCCTGGAATCCTGCATCCAGTTTTGGTCACTGCATTACAAAAAGAAGGTTGGGACTTTGAAAAAAAAATGCAGAGAAGAGCAAGTAAGATGATCAAAGGAGACTAAAACATGAAGAACGGTTGCAGAAATTGGATTTGGACAATCTAGAGAAGAGAAGAACCAAGGGTGACAGGATAGCAGTCTTCCAGTATTTGAGAGGCTGCCACAACGAAGAAGGGAATAACTTATTCTCCAAAACCCCAGAAGGCAGGACAAGAAACAATGGATGGAAACTAATTAAGGAGAGAGGAGCAACTTGGAATTAAGGAGAAACTTCCTAACAATGAGGACACTCAACCGGTGGAATCAGCTTATCACAAGAAGCCGTGGGTGCTTCATCACTGGAAGTTCTTAAGAAGAGACCTGTCTGCAACGGTATAAGGTCTCCTGCTTTGAACAGGCAGTTGGACTAGAAGACATCCAAGGTCCCTTCCAAATCCATTCTGAATTTGAATACTGAGGACCTGTGCCTAGCCTTTCCCTGATTTCTAGCTAAACTGTTAAAATACCAAACAAGTGAAATATCGGCAGCCGAGCAGCACAGCTGTCAATCACAGTTAATAACAGTCAGCCTATATAAAGATCTGCCTGTAGCTACTTTGATTGATTGCTGAAACCAAGGCCTCGCCAGAAATTAGTGACATTAATAGCAATCATCAAGGGTGCTTGCGAACTTGGTTAGTCCTTCTGTGTTAAAGCACTAAAGACTTTGGTATTGGCACTGGAAAATGTAATTGTCTTTAATAACATGACGGCTTTTTAGTAGGAAGATGTAGCGTGTTGCTAAGGGTGGAAAATGGGATTTATTCCACCAAGGAAATGTTCCTTATTATTAAAACAATGATGCTCTGAATTGCATAGCATATAGTACCTAAACTGGTCTGTGCGTGTAAAAAGAGATCTGCTTTGATTTAATACGTTATACCACCACCTAAAGTTAAACCTGAAAATACACTGTAAAAAAAAAATGAGAATTTCTCCAACTTTAATCAAGTTGTTTGCTGAAGCTATAGTTTTTTTCTGCAGAAAAGCTCATAAGAGCATAACTGGCCCATTTTACAACTGTTACAACAGATGTCTCTTACGGGCAAACTTCATTATGGTTGTACATCAAGGACTGCTGGTATAATGAAGGTGATATCTGTAACAATGCCTAGTTGTTGACCGAAAACGGACAACTTTTCATGAATTATTTTGTATTTTTTGTTCATTTTTCCTAACCTGGTGTTCTTCAGAGGGGTTTATTGCATAGTTTCCTCAAATGTGTATACGGCAGCAGCCAAAAAAGCCAACGCAATCCTAAGTTGCATTAACAGCGGGATACAATCCAGATCAAGGGAGATACTAATACCACTCTATAAAGCCTTAGTAAAACCACACCTAGAGTACTGCATCCAATTTTGGTCACCACACTATAAAAAAGCCATTGAGACTCTAGAAAAAGTGCAGAGAAGAGCAACTAGGATGATGAGGGGACTGGAGGCTCAAACATATGATGAACAGATGCAGGAAACGGGGTTGGCTAGTCTAGGGAAGAGAAGAACCTGGGGAGACAGGATAGCAGTCTTCCAGTATTTGAGGGGCTGCTACAGAGAGGAGGAAGGGGGTCCAGCTATTCTCCAAGGCACCCAAAGGCCAGACAAGGAGCAATGGGTAGAAACTGAACAAGGAGAGATTCAACCTGGAAATAAGGAGGAAATTTTTGACAGTGAGAACAATCAACCGATGGAACAGACGTGGCATTCAGAAGTTGTGGGAGCTTCATCACTGGAAGCTTTCAAGAAGAGAATGGAGGTCTCTCTATCAGAAATGGTGTAGGGCCTCCTGTTTGGGCAGGAGGTTGGACTAGATGACCTACAAGGTCCCTTCCAACTCTGTCAATCTGTTATCTGCAAGTCAGATGTTCCCTTTATAGACTTATAGTTCCGTCTTCCCAACCTCATCCTGGTAGAAGTGTTGTGACGCTGGCAGGGAAGTTCTGAGTGTTGTGTTTTCATGGCATCAGAAAAAGTATGCCAGCCATCGTCCTCTTCCCCCATCGAGGAGAACTTGGAAACAACTTCTGCTTGTTCTTGCCTTTGCTGTTCGCTGAATGAAAGCTTCGGCTTCCCAGCATCTGTGTACGGAACAATTCTTCTTTTATGGGGAGATGATGTTGTCCTTTTTGATCAGTGCAGCGCTGGCTGGCATTGTGCCCCCCTTTCCTTGTGTAATATATATATATATAAAACAGATGGTTGGTAAGTGGAGGTTGTTCGCTATCTCGCAGCTCTCAAATTGAAGCCCAAACTGTGTGGGATGAGACCGAGGAGGTTGGATGGTTTTTAAGAGCACCACCAATCAACGATCTCTCTCTTGTGTTCTCCTCTCTGGTAGAATGAGGCAACCCCGTGGCCTACCTATCGACAACGTTGTGCTGCCTGCCGGCTGCCTCTTCTTGGAGGAAGGGGAGAGTTGGCTTAAACAGAAGTGCCATGAGTTGTCAGGATGAACAAAGAGATGCTTACAATGAAGCTATTTGACGTCATACTCAGCACTGGATGAACGGAGGAGAAATATTCCCAGGAAGGGATGCAGCTATTTTAATGAGTTGCAGACCAGGACTATGTTTATAACTCAAGCTCTTTGTTTGTGAATCAAGTACAAATTAACAGTTCTCAGGCCCACCCTGAGTTTCTTAGTAAGCAAGTATCAGAGTATAGCCACGCGGGAAGTAAAAAAAAAAAAAAGCAAATAGGGGCTAGAAAGAGACAACTGGCAACAGTTTTCTATAAAATGCAGGTTTAAGGAAAGAGTGGGATCTGGGTGCAAATCAGATGTTGGATGATTAAAAAATGAGCTGCTGGCTGAAGTCAACAATTTCAGCACTAAGTTGCTTGCCTATATGTGATTGAGATCCAGGTGTGCTTCCCAAGCAGTGGGCATTTATGAGAGTTGAAGTGTCGCAAAATCACACATTGCTGTTTGAATACTTCCCAGCAAGCAGAGTCAGCTGGCACAAGTACTGCAAGTCGAGATCGTGTGATGTCTCACGTAATGACTGCAGCGGAAGCGAGGCTGTGCGTCTGTCACAATCTCGTGATTTCGCTGGTCCCAATTGTGGGTGTCAAGCACCAGGAAAATCAGGAGAGCTGGACAGTTTGTCATGCCCCTGTCAGAATCTGATTCGGAGGGGGAGGCCGAGAAGCTGACAGGGAGTAGGAGTGTGGCTCCGTTAGCTGTGGAAGGACAAAGTCCAGCTGGGCAGAGCAGGAGAGAGGTAGACCAAGTTAGAGGGAATTCAGAGGAAGATCCAGGCCCATCCCCTCTTCCTCCTAGGGTATGCAGGGAGGAATGGAGAAGGGAGCAATGTGAGTTGTGTGGCTTACGGGGAGGAAAGGGCTCTGATTCCCTTCATTAGCTGCAGCTGGGAACACAGTATTTTATAAGGGAAGTTGCACACAGCAAACTGTTGGGAGCAAATCATGAATTATATGGTATTGTCGAGGCTTATCTGGGTTCCTGGCATCTTCCTACTGTGTGTGTTTTACTGGTCTTTAAATCTGGAATTCCTTCTCCTGCCCTGTCAAGTTAATTAATGCAGCATGGTTTGTTCGGATTTTTAGTTACAGTATGTATGTACTTTCTTTTCGGACTGAATTTCCTCCACTTAAAGACTGTTCTTGGGAGAATTTTTTTCTCCAGCTGAAGATAACCTGGACATTGGGGGCAAAATTGGAGGTACTAAAGGGACTCTTCTTACTTATGTGATTGTGTTGCCTTTGTGCCACGCCCCTTTGGGTCATCACACACTTCAAATGACAGTAAGGTTGCATTCTCTACAAGAATCTGAGCCACTAACGGTCCAGGGAAATTAGCAGGAGATAAGAGTAGAAGGAATTCACGATGGGCTGGACTGAGATTTCTCGTGGGCATGAAGGGACTTGAGACTGATGATGTGTTTGTGCCGTTGTAATGTCGAACAGTCACTAAACAAACTATTCTAACCGGAGGATTACATCTAATAAGCAGTCTTTTGAAAGAACCTGCTCTTACACCATGCATCTTAAATAGACAATGATTTTATCCCCCCCCCCCTTTCTTTTCCAGTTGCCTTTGGTCTGTACTTTCCCCGGAAGACGTACCATGAAAATGTTTACCTGGAACAACCGGAAGGTACACCTTTATTGCAACTCCATGCCTTAAAAGATTCGGAAGAGGAGGAAGCTTTCTACTGTCTGGTCCCAGATTCTTTCGGAACGGGGTCCCAAAATCTTTGGTTTCAGATTGGCGAGAGAACGGGACTCCTCTACCTCAACAAGAGTCTGGATAGTGAAGACTTCATTCTCCTTTGTAAGTCTCTGGAATTCCTGCCTGATGGGTGGGAAGTAGGAAGCGTGTCAGCCTTGGAAACCATATTATATTTGGAAGCTTCGAGGCTGCCACGTTCAGTGCCTGGGAATTTGGGAGGGGGGATTCCATAGAGAAGTGGAAGATTAGACTCAACAACATTCTTTTCTCAGAGAGTCAAGGACATGTTTCCCTGCATCTGGAGGGGAGTGTCTGGGGGCATGTCTCTGGTTGGGACAATGATTTGGTTGGGCCATGTGGTGGGGTGATGGATGCAGGGATGGGTCTTTGATTTTTCTTTTGGGAAGGGAAACCCCTGAATTCTCAGTTTCGGATTTTTCCACATATACCAATATCACAACTTTAATAAAATGGAACTTTGAGTAAATGTTTATCTCGGAGTTCATTGGTTTAGAGTTGGTTAGTTGGAATGCTGACATTAACCCAAATCACCCCTCCTTCAGTTTCAGGTCAACATGTCCTTGACTCTCTGAGAAAGAATGTTATCTCAGTTTTTCTTACCTTGTTTTTTTCTTTTCTTTGAAAACATTTTCCTTCTCATCCAAGAAGCTTCTTTGAACTGAACTGAAGAAGTTTCTTGGGTGAGAAGCAAAAGGTCTTCAAAGAAAAACAAAAGAAGTCTGCTTACCTTTGGGACAACCATGACCTGGATGATGGAGAATCTCCATAGACAAGGAAGGGAGGCTAGGAAAGTGTCCCTTGAGAAGGCAAAATCAGATTGATATGGATGTTCAGTCACGGCTGAAAATGAGGGACACATTGAGTGTGGTTTGTGTGTTGTGTTTGTAATTGTGTTTCATCCTATTTTTTTTAATCTATTAGTGACCTTGAGTGCCACTCATTGGCGAAAAGGTGTCAGTGACTCCAATTTCTGTCTAGAGAGACTTATTTAGTTACTAAGTGGGGCGTTTTGGGATGAAGGAAGGTGGAACTTTGATCACAAAAATTAAAAATGTTCTTGTTGGGGGTGCCTGTTATTTTCTGAACTTCCCTACAGTACCGTGGGATCAATTCTTAATATTAACGGACATTGTAAATCTGCCCTTGACCACCAAGGATGTTTTAAGATTAAAACGTAGCTGAAAACCGATACTAGATTATCGCTTAAACATCTTAATGATTGGAGCTTAAAAATAGCCGTTCAGCATCCAAAAAGTGGAACTCTTCCCATTTTGACCAACGTCCAACTATGGTATGTTGGCTGGAATAATTCACTCAAGAATTTACTCTCTGTTCTTTATGAGATACCTGGGACAAAAATATAGGTGGTCTTTGACTTACAACCAGTTTGTCAACTCATGAAACATTCCTACGCCTGTTTTAGTAATTACCACAAAAAAGGGGGAAGGAGAGGAAGTGCAGCAGTTTGAAATTGAAAGTACATTCCAACAGTTATCTTTAAAAGATTGTAACTAAACTACCAGAGTTTTTCCCCCGCAAATATATTTAATTGGAGAACGTGAATGATGACGCCCAGTCTGTGAAGTTGCTCAGTTGGAGAATCTGATTTATGACATACCCAGCAGAGAGGGGGAGAAACAGGGTCACAGGGGACTGTAAATAACATAGGCCAAAGTTGGCATCACACAGGACAGATCCAGTATGTCACCTCTAATGAATCCTTTGAAGTTTTTGGAAGTATGGCTCGAGAATGATGATTTAATTAGGGTGATTGCTGGAATCCTGACCACAGTCATTTAGTGACTGGTCAAAGTTACAACGGCATTGAAAAAAATGAACTTATGGCTGTTTTTCATACCCAACGACCATTGTAGCACTCTCGTTGGTCACGTCATCAAAATTCGGAAGCTTGTCCATTGGCCTATACTTCCGGCCATTGGGTCTCTTGATCCCCTCTTGCAACCTTCTCCCAAGCAAGTCAATAAGGGAAGCCAGATTTGACAACCCGGGTTACCAACTTAACGGCTGCCATGATTCACTCAGCAGTGGTGGCAAGAAAGGTGGTGCCATGGGGCTGTCTTGCTTAGCAATGGACATTTGGGGCTCCTTGTGGTTGGTTGTAAGTCAAGGACTACCTGTAGCTGAAACTGCTGCTTCCCATGAGCTTCAGGGATTAGTGGCATGCTTCCTTGTGCTACATTTTTGCATTCAGTCTTAGATCTTGCATTTCAATCTTAGATTTTGCATTTCAACCTTAGATTGGCTGGATACAGATAAATATGAGAAAACATTGGCCTTTAAAAAAAAAAAGAACTATGAATGAACTATTGGTTAGGTGGGCTTATAATTTAAATCTGCATCCAAGCTTTGCGGAAAAATTCACATTCACTGTGCCTTGATGGGGCAATGGTTAGAATGTCATATTGCAGACTCACTCTGCCAACTGCCAGCAGTTTGATCCTGACAGGCTCAAGGTTGACTCAGCCTTCCATCCTTCCGAGGTGGGTAAAATGAGGACCCAAATTGTTGGGGGTAAGAGGCTGACTTTGTAAGCTGTTTAGAGAGGGCTGTAAAGCACTGTGAAGCGGTATATAAGTTTATTGATATCTCCCTTTCTCCCTCCCTTCCTCCCTCCCTTCCTTCTTCTCTTCCCTCCCTCCCTCCCTCCCTCCCTCCGAGAGGTCTATGAAGCACTATGAAGCAGTATATAAGTCTAAATGCTATTGCTATTGACTCAGCCTTCCTCCCTTAGAGAGGGGTATGAAGCAGTATATAAGTCTAAGTGCTATTACTAATGCTACTCTGAAGGAAAATTACAGCTCTATATATTCACTCCCAAAACTGGGGTCCCATTTTCAAAGGGGGTTAGTGTGATTAAGTGAGAATTAATATTGATTCTATTGAATGGCCCATTGGAGAATTGAATTGAATAAGCACACATGCCAATTGTGTTTCCTTGTCAACTATTCTTCCTCTCTTTTATAGCTTCGGGAAGTTCAGTGGCCAAAGTCGTGCTCCGTGTTTTCCTCTCTTCCAAACCTTTCCAAGCGAAGAACTGTTTCGGCTCGGCGTCGATGACCTTGGTCAAACTCTCAGTCCTCAATGCCACCATGCCGACGTGCAGTTCTCCAGTGTTAAGCCAGTTTTGCTTTCCCGCCATGGATCTCTCTTTTCACATCATGGAGAACAAACCACCAGGAATCTTTCATCAGCTTCAGTCCTTTGGCCTACAGCAACAGTGTCATAACATCAGCCTTTCCTACAAGCTTATCACAGGTAAACTCTACATTTACTCAATGGCATTTTACCCACCTCGGAAGGATGGAAGGCTGAGTCAACCTCTAGAAGGGAGGGAGGGGGGGAGGGAGGGAGGGAGGAAGGAAGGAAGGAAGGAAGGAAGATAGCAATAGCCCTTCGACTAAGCGGTTTACAGAGTCAGCATATTTGCCCTCAACAATCTGGGTCCTCATTTTACCCACCTCGGAAGGAAGGAAGGCCAAGTCAACCTTGAGCCTGGTGAGATTTGAACTGCCAAGTTGCAGTCAGCAGGCAGTCAGCAGAAGTAGCCTGCAGTACTGCACTCTAAGCACTGCGCCACCGTCATTGTGAGTTGCAAGGTGTGCAGGATGGACTTTCGGGACCCAATGTTGTCACGAATAACTGCAGGTTTTCATGAGACAATATGGTTTTCTTTACTGCTGTGTTCCAGATGAGAACCTGCCCTTTTATTATGATGAGGAGACCACCACCCTAGGAGTGTCCAAACCCCTCGACCGAGAAGAACGAGAAAAGTACGAGATATTGGCTCAATGCACCTTGAAGGAAGGCTCCCAGGAGACATTGAGGGAGGTCCCTCTGCTCATCCATATTCTGGATGAAGATGACATGCCTCCTTTTCTGTCCAATGGGACTAGCACAACAGATGCCATAGTGGAGTTCAAAAGAGAAGAGGTAAGCCGGCACAATGGGATATTTTGTCTCTAGGTCTCGTGTTCAGACAGCTGGATTGTAATACCATGTTTCCCTAAAAATAAGACCCCGTTTTATTTTATTTTTTTTGCCACCCAAAAAGGCACCAGGTCTTATTTTGGGGGGGATGTCATCCACTGACTAACCTCACGAGTGCACAACACCCCTGGCCTCCTTTTTTTGCTTCAAGAACTACTTCTGTGGCCAGCAAGACTTTCCTGAAGGCCTCTGCAGCTGACAAGAAAGCTCCGGATCGATCCTGAGCTTTGTTATGAGCTGCAGAGGTCTTCAGGAAAGCCTTGTCATCCTTGCCAGCTGCAGAAGAAATGGATCAGTAAGGCAGGTGTCGGGGTATGCGAGTCCTGGCTACAACTGTCCAAAGGTAAATAGTAGGGCAACTCCACACACACACCATTACCCTAGCTTAAGTTTTACCTGTCCACTCCGGAGTAGGCAGGATCTTAATTAAGGCTTATTATGGAGGTAGGGCTTATATTGGGTGCACGTGTAAAAATCAAGCTAGGACTTACTTTCAGGGTAGATCGCATTTTTGGGGAAACAGGCTAGTTAAAAAAAAAATAGTTTTCAAAAGGATGTCTATAAAAGCAAAAAAAAACAAAACTGTAAGGGTAGTTTAGAGGGAGGGATCCAAATTTAATACTGAAATGAACTTCTAAAAACGGAAGCACCTTTCCTGACCTCTGCTTTTTAGCCATTGATCAGCCCTTGTATGAAGTTATCTTTCTTCATCCAGTAAGTTGTTTTCCCCAGCTTTGAGGATTTGTCAAGAAAAAAGTCTCATTTTTGTGTGTTTGCTGCCACCATCAGTCCAGAATTAGCACTGCTACTTTTCTTTAGTTCCATTTCTTCTTGACTCTGCTGGGTTGAAGATTATGCATGCAATAATAGTGATCTGAGAAACTTGTTTAGCGCCGATTTATCATGATTGGATAGATTATGTTGGTGTTTCATGCGGGCTCCTGAAACAAGTATACATTTTTTCCAGCTTCAATGCTTGTCTTGGTCTAAAATGCACCCTTTAAAGCCATATTAAGATCGATAGCATGTTGATAAACGTATGAAGAAAGGTTGCAGGAATTGGGTATGGCCAGATTAGAGAAAAGGACTAAGGATGACATAATAGTACTATTCCAGTATTTGAGGGGCTAGCACAAGGAGGAGGGAGTCAATTTATTTACTAAAGCACCAGAAGGCAGGACAAGTAAAAATTGGATGGGAACGAATCAAGGAGAGAAGCAACCTGGAATTAAGGAGAAACTTCCTAAAAGTGAGGATAATTAACCAGTGGAACAGCCTGCCACCAGAAGTTGTGGGTGCTTCAGAGTTTATTAAGAAAAAAAGAATGGAGAATTAACTGTCTGAAATACTATAGGGTTCCCTGCTTGATTGTTGGTCTGAGGTTAATCTAGGCTGATGATTAACTCCCAAACAATCTTAAGAGGCCTTACTAGCACCGATAATGTTACCTAGTTTGGGTAATAAGATGCCTGCAAGAAAACAACCAAGCTCAGAGACCCCCTCACTCTTTCCATCCATTTTGTGGCAGTGGTTGTTTTGATGCTCTCCCTTCTGCATTCTCTCGCAGAGAGTGAGCGGTGGAGGCGTGCTGTAAATAATTGACTAAGAAATGTTTCATTCATTTAGTTCATGGCTGAAACGTGCTTCCGCCGACGGCCGTTGTCTAGGCAGATTGGAAATACTAATGCACTAAGCCAATGGCTGATTCAGTCCGAGTTATAGGTGTCCCCTGTCTAAGGTCAATTTATCGATGTTATTCTTTTGCCGGAACTCTTGGGTCAGATTCTTCATCCCAAGGTCACACCTGGAAGCTGCTCTTACAATCACAGCTCAAGAGTTGTGCCTTGTTACTGCATCACTTTACCTATAAAGGAGAATATTTGTGGCTCGGGGTTGAAATGGGGAGTCCTTGGTGCTCTCTGAGCTTGGTTGTTTTCTTGCAGACATTTCATTACCCAGCTAGGTAACATCATCAGTGCTAGTAAGGAATGAGGTTTGTTCTCAGTTTATATTTTAGTGACTTGCCCAACTAACACTTCAATGTTAGTTGAGGTGGTCTTAGAAATGTTTTGGTTGGACCGTTTACTGTGTCTGTGTCAATTCACCATGGCCAACTCGCTGTGGCTAACTCACCATGGACAAATCATCGCAGGATGAGAGTTTCACTAATAGCACTAGCACTTAGACTTATATATGCTTTATAGTGCTTTCCAGCCCTCTTTAAACAGTTTACAGAATCAATCTCTTGCTCCCAACAATCTGGGTCCTTATTTTAATGACTCAGAAGGATGGAAGGCTGAGTAAACCTGGAGCCTGGTGAGATTCGAACTCCTGAACTGAGCAGTGAGTTAGCCTTCGGTACTTCATTCTCACCACTTGCGCCACCATGGCTCAGTGAATGTGAATTTTACCTGCAAATCTTGGCTGCAGATGTAAGTTATAAGCCCACCCAACCAATACTTCATTTAAAAAAAATGTTTTTTTTCATATTTCTCTATATCAAAGAGATGGTAGAATAGCATCATTAAAAAAAGGATGCAAAAAGGAGCGCCAGCATGAAATGGGAATGAGAAAAATTAAAATAATTTGTATTTATTTATTTGAAGTAATTACACTGAATTGTTAAATTGTCCCTCAATGAGTTGGCTTTGTGGTAAGTTCTTCCATTCTGGTTTTACTGTTGGCTTCCTTGGTAGTTACTTGATTGATGGCCTGATGTTAATTTTGGGGTTCATCTATGCTGATCTGGATGCTGGTGGAAAGGGGCTTTAATCTACCTCTCTTCTTTTCCAGGGTACTGTCTTGGCAGCCTTATCGGTTCTGGATGCGGACACGACTCCTATCTACCCGGTAGATACCAGCAGGAAGAAATACACGGGCACCATAAATTCATCCGATCCCTGGATACAGGAAACGTTTCGAGTGGACCACCTCTTCCACGAGATCTATTTCCACCCAAATGGCAGCCAAGTGCGGGGCACACAACATGAATACAGTAATTTTATGCACATCTTTATTGTCACGGCCACGCTTTTCGTTAAAAAGATCGTGGTTAGAACTCAAGCCGATGTAGAATGTTTTTTTTAAAAAAATTTGAAGACATACACATATGAACAAATATGCCCCCATATTTCTGCAGGTGCTGATGTGTAGGTGCCTTCCTTCTAAACCCCCATTGCACAGAGTTTGGGTCTCGAACCCAGACTGTCAGCTCAGCATCTTTAACCACTGAGACGTTACGCCCCTTTAAAACTTATAAAAATGGCTTTAATTTATGTATTATCCTCTGATTCTACCCACCCACTATTAAGGAGAAGCTGAACTCCCAATCTTTTCCTTCTGTTTTATGAGGTCAGAAATTGAAGGAATCGTCTGATTTCTTGGATCCAATGATGCCATTTTGGGAGCTTCTGATATTTGCCATAATAGGTCTGGGGTATGAAGAAATCTTTGCCGCAAAGAGGGAGGTCGACGTGTTCTCTAAAACACCTGAGGTTGGGACATGAAGCAGTGGGTGGAAGATCATTAAAAGAGAAATCCAACCTAGAAGTAAGGAGTTATTTCCTGACAGTGGGAACAATTAATCACTGGAATGGCTTTCCTCTGGAAGTTGTGGGTAGTTCCATTGCTGGAAGTTTTCAAGAAAAGATTGTGCAACCCTTGGACCAGGATGGTATCAAATCTCCTGTCTTGGGGAGGGTATTGGATTAGAAGTCCTTCCAAAAGATATTTTTCCTTCTTTCTTTCAGGCCAGTATAACAGGAATAGGTTGTAGGCTTTCTTCTACCAGGTGTGTTTCCTCCAAACGATTTTGGGGTTGTGGTGTGGAACACAACTCTGCATTTCAGTATGTCTGTGGCCGGATTTCCCCATAAATTACTGTTTCTCGTGGAGTCCAGTGCCTGACCATTCTTCATCCACTGGATGTCTCTCTTTGCTGTGTAAAATTTCCTCCTCCCATGTGCTAAAGTATAAGGAAGTGAAACCAATGTTCTATTTTTTTTTATTTTTTACAGAGTTGATACTAAACAGGACCGTTTCCATTACGGAGAGCCGGTCCCTCCTGCTGGATGTCATTGTGAACGACACAACGTACCAGGGCCCCGACAGATCCTTGACGCTTCACTTCAACATCTCCATCCTTCCAGTTTTCATCCAGTTCTCGAACCCGACGTATCAGTTCATGGTGAACAGAAACGCGGCCAACTTTTCACAAGTGAGGATGGCACCTCTCTTCTCTTTGAAACACGAGCTTCTTAGAATTAAAACATCAGGCAGGAAAACGTGTGTATAAGTGAAAAGATGGTTAGGATGTAGACCAGAGGTGGGATTCAGCCGGTTCTGACAGGTTCTAGAGAACCGGTAGTGGAAATTTTGAGCAGTTCAGAGAACTGGCCAATCCAACCTCTGACTGGCCCCGCCCACCATCTATTCTCTGCCTCTCAAGTCCCAGCTCATCAGCTGGGTCTTCTTTGATTGCCCTGCAGAGGAGAACAGAGCTGGAAAGCAGGTTAGTGGGGTGGGGAGGGAATGGAGATTTTACAGTA